CTGAAGCTGAGACCCTCCTTTCTTATACAGCCTTACTAACAGATTGCTATTGCTTGGGTTTATAACTGGATTCCTGAGAGACTCTGGGAGAACTAAGAGGTAAAAGGAGACTTAAGAGGAGGATTTGGGGAAAGAGAACTTGAGGACAAGATGGAAGATGAGGAAGAGCCAGATGAGGAAGTACTAGATAGGTAAGAACCTAGATGAGGCAGAATGAAGAAGAGAGAATTAAGATAGAACTTAAGAGGCGGCAACAGATAAAGGCAGAGAGAAATCAGGCAAGAAAGGAGCTTGGCACAAGATCAGAACTGAAGCTGTGTAGATAGAATTTTATCCCAGAGGAATAGAGTAGACAGACAAAGAGGTGGGTGTACTTAGATTCTTTTCCTGAAAATAATTCTTGCTGTTCATAGCTTCTCTTCTGGCACCCTAGGAAGAATATTATTAAGGGTAGTCCTTAATAATATTCAAGAAAGAGGGAATCAACTTTCTTTTCTTTTTCTGTGTTTATTTTTAAGACAGGGTTTCTCTGTGTAAAGGCTGTCCTCAAACTGACAGAGATCGGCCTGCCCCTGCTGGGATTAAAGGCGTGTGCACCACGCCCCACTGAAACCCAACTTTCAATATGGATGACACTATTTCATGGGCTGAGATCTGAGACTGAATAAAAGGGAGAGAGGCTGGCTTAGCACAGCACCCTTCGCTCCTGTTTCCTTACTGCTGACAGTGTAAGTAGCTGCCGTACTGTCCAGGGACGCATCCCCCAAATTCTAAGACCACCACTTAGTGCTCTCTCTTGTCAGATACTTGGTCAGAGCAAATAGAAAAGCAACCAATGCAAGCAGCACTGTGATGTCACAGTGAAGAGTTTCACACCATCCAACGTTGCTTCGGAAATTAGCTTGTTTGAGATACATCAAACATCTCTAGATTAGGGTATACTCAGATGAAGTTTATATTTAGACTTTAGTCCTACTCCCAAAATATCTCATTATGTACTTTTTGTACATATGCCAGCATTTCAAAATTTAAAAATATTTTACAAGTACAAAAAAATGACTGGTTCCAAGCATTTTAGATAAAGAATACTTAATTTGTCCTAAATGTTCTATAAAAATAGCATGACTTGAGTCTTAAGAAATGATCCAGAGGGCTGGAGAGATGGCTCAGTGGTTAAGAGCCCTGACTGCTCTTCCAGAGGTCCTGAGTTCAATTCCCAGCAACCACATGGTGGCTCACAACCATCTGTAATGAGATCTGGTGCCCTCTTCTGGCCTGCAGGGACATATGCAGGCAGAATACTGTATACATAATAAATAAGTAAGTAAGTAAGTAAATCTAATGCCGGGCGGTGGTGGCGCACGCCTGTAATCCCAGCACTCGGGAGGCAGAGCCAGGCGGATCTCTGTGAGTTCGAGACCAGCCTGGGCTACCAAGTGAGTCCCAGGAAA